CTGGCTTCCACCTCGGTGCCACCCCTCATCTGAACTTTGTGCCGTTTCTCTAACACGTGACCTCTTTTCTACTTCCGCACCATTTGCACATGCTGTTCCCTCTGCCTAAGAAGCTCTTTCCCCACAGTTTGCAGAGCCAACTAGCCTCTCATCTTCCTTCAGTTCCATCTTAACAGTTGTCTGTCGGAGGCCAGCCCTGTCCCCTTTCTAAAGCCTGCCAGTCCCTGCTCGGGAACTCTGGGCTGTCCTGGTGGGACCTAAGAGCCCACAGAGCATGTGGCTGTAGGCTCTTTTTAAATGAAATATTATACAACATTTAAAAATAACAAATTACATCAATCAATATGGTTAAATTTCTGTAAACTAATGTGAATTTAAAAAGCAACAATACATTGTTTTAAATGTAAAAGATTGAATTCCAGATATGTAGATAAAATATCCTATATAATAAAAGGGTAATATGTAAATTGACCCTAACAGTGGAATGACCAATAACGACTGGTCGCTATGATGTGCACTGACCACCAGGGGGCAGACTCTCAATGTAGGAGCTGCCCCTGATGGTCAGTGCACTCCCACAGGGGGAGCTCCACTCAGCCACAAGCTGAGCTAATGGCTGTGAGTGCAGTGGTGGTGGCGGGAGCCTCTCCTGACTCCTTGGCAGTGCTAAGGATATCCGACTGCGACTTAGGCCTGATCCCCTTGGGAGAGGGCCTAAGCCGGCAGATGGACATCCCTTGAGGGCTCCCGGGCTGCCAGAGGGATGTCTGACTGCCAGCTTAGGCCTGATCCACTGGGGAGTGGGCCTAAGCCGGCAGGTGGACATCCCCCGAGGGATCCTGGAATGCGAGAGGGCACAGGCCTGGCGGAGGGACCCCCCAAGTGCACACATTTTTGTGCACCGGGCCTCTAGTGAAAATACTAGTATAAAGGGAATGGCAAATTTAGGGCTGTCTAAGCTCCCTTTTTCCCATATGTATTATAAAATCATCTTAAATCATCTGAATCCTTTTCTTGGAAAATGTTCCACATGTTTCTGACCTAGGTTTTCTTTTCCCTTTTGAAACAAATCTTGAATTTCAAAGAAAGTGCAGATGCTATGACAAACTCTGTCTTTCAATATATTATTTCATTGGCTCACTGCCCTTGGCAATTAGGAGAAGATTTATAGACATGTCCCCTAAATAATTGGCAATTAATTTGAGATTAGATGCCCAAAGTACAGTATTCTTAATGTAACGTGAAGGTTGAGGCTTTTCGCTTACAAATGCCACGGAACGCAGAGTAAATGTTAACGGGCAGCACAGTTAGCCCTGCCCTTTTGCACATTCGCAGTAGAGAGGAGTTTGAGTTTGATGACCGCAAACCGGGTTGGCTAGTTTTAATGTAAAGCTCCCATGTAAACAGAGAGTGTCTCTATGTCCTAATAGTTTATCTCAATGGGGACTGATAGGAACCCACGCTATACAAGGAATAAAGAGATCCTGTACCCCACATCTTCTTTGGAATTGTGCTTCCTGTTGGGTCCCATGGACTCTCTGGTGCTCATGGCTCAAATGATAACTGTCAGTATTTTTTTTTAATGTCTAGGACTCTGGTCTCCTAGGGGAAGGTAAACCATAGATTCCAGGTAAGAGATTTTGCTGGTGAACATGGTTATCCTTCTGGTGAAATTCCAAAGTGCTTTATATCCGGAGGTAGAGTTGGCAGGTGTGACCATCAAATATCAGTGATTTACCCGCTGGTTTCATTCCCTGAACTTAACTCCCACGCAGAGCCTGGAACCCATCATGCGCACATGTCCAGGCCATTTGAGACCGAGGAGAATTTCAGTCCCTTTCACAAACTCTAGAAATATCCTGTGATCCAGTTTCCCTAGGCCTGTATTTCTTTTCTCACTGTTTCTAAGCCAATGGGATGGGTTTTAAGTTTAGCTGCATTAAAAAAAAAAAAAGGTAACAGTTCACCTTTGGACTAAGCCCGATTCTTTCATTCTTGCCTCAAACCCTGTCCACTCTGTATCCTCATGATGGTAATTTCCAGCTCATTGCGTGCTTCCTCGTTGCCACGCTCTGTCTTTGTCTCATGAATCCTCCCAGCATCTGGTGTGGGAGCTGTGTGGTGTCTGTGCTCTGTGTTCATATATGAGAACAGTGAGGGTCAGAGGTTGTTACACAGTGCCCTTGGGCTCACCAGCTAAGACCCAGTGGAGCCAGAATTAAACCCTGGCCTGACTGTCCTAACTACCAAGATTTATTCTATTTTTCTTTTAGTTCCGTTTTCTAATGAGATTTTGAGAACTAAGCATTTTGAATAGTGCCGACCACATAGTCATTCAATAATTGTGTTTATTTGAAATGTTTGAAATACACTGTATTACAGTATAATTTGCATACTATACATTACACTTGTTTACAGATATAGCTCTGTAAGTTTTGACAAATGTATAAACCTGGGATGTCACTATCATGACCAAGATATAGTTTATGGACAGCTCCCCCAGGAAGTTTCCCTGTGCTTCCCCCTTTTTAAACATTTTATTTTGGAATCATTGCAGATGCCCAGGAAGTTGTAAAAATAGTGCAGAAGTTTCCTGTACCCTTCACCCAGTTTCCCCCAATGGTAGCTCCTACATAGCTATGATACAATCACAAAGCCAAGAAATGGGCATTGTTACTCTCCACAGACCGTAAATCCCTGAGCCCATCTGCATCAGTCTTTGTCTGCTCTCGGGTAACCACCTAACTGCCTCTGCACTATACTGTAAATTTGGTTAGCCTTTGCTAAAACTTTTTGTAAAGAGAAAACTGTGCAGTATATTCTCTCTGTGTCTAGCCTCTTTTGCTGAGCATTATGTGTTTGAGAGCTATCAATATTATGTATGTGCTCCTTCTAATTGTGGGGTAGCATCCCATTGTTTGAATATAATGCAGTTTGCTTATCCATTCTCCTGCTGAGGGGCATTTGGGTTGTTTGTAACTTGGGCCTATTATATAATGAGAAGTTGCTATGAAGATTTATCTACAAGTGTGTGTGTATGGGAGGACTTGCTTTCATTTTGCTTGCATAAGTAAGTGGAAATGTTGGACTATTTGGTTAGTGAAGGCTTAACTTTATAATACACTGCTAAATTGTTTTCCCAAGAGAATGAGCCATTTTATACACAATCGTGCTAACACTTGAGATGGTCAGCCTTTAATTTTTGCCATTCTAGCGGGTATGTAGTAGGTCCTTATTGTGGTTTTAATTTGCCTTTCTCTGATAATTAATGATATTGAATATCTTTTCATGTACTTAATGGCCAGTCATATATATCCTTTTGTCCGATCAAACCCTGTGCCCATTTTAGGGCCAAGTGGGTGGGGATTTGTCTTCTTCACTCAGTAAATACTTGATGAGTAATTGTATGTTTATTGAATGACCTAAGATTGACTTGAATTTGTGTACTTTCTTTTTGGCCACTTGAAACTGTAGGTATAATACAACTCAAATAAAATAGCTCAGGTTGGTGGTTAGTGTATTCTAAAATGATAAACTGTAGCAGGGAATCTTGTTCTGAACGTGACATTGGGATATAGGTCAGTTGTTGCCTGCCCTGGCAGGACATATCATCACCCTGACTACTCCTGTCATCCTCATGGCCTACTCTTCCTGACCACGGGGAAGTTGTCATCTGGAGACATGACTATTGTGGCTCACACGGGTGCTGAATTGCTGCATTGTTTCTCTAAGACTAGAAATGCTCTTACCTAATCTTTATCTTGTCTAAAAATGGAAGGGCAATCTGAGCCTTGTTATTTTCAGCTGTCACTGACGCGTCTTTCTCCATTAAGAATGAACGTTCACTAGGCTGATATGCAGGCCTTCTGTGGATCCTGTGGACTATAACTTGTTTATTATTTTAAAAATTTGTTACCTTTTTTTTCTGTGGCACACATTTGTAAGAATATATATATTTTTAGCTTTGTTTTTGTTCTGTTATGTGTAGAGCATTACGAAGAAGTAAACACATAGCTCCTCCCAGTTAACTATTGCTTAAACAACAACAATGATAAAAAAGAAATATGTATCTAGTGTTTGTAAATCAACACAGGGGAGTGAGATCTCTATATTTCCACCTGTCGATATAAAGAGCGGTATCTCCTTTAGTTCCCACGTTCAAGACCTTCTTCCTAAAGGAAACTGATTGAAAAGAACGTCCCTTGATTCCCTCCATTCATACATGGTGTCTCCTTTTCTCCCTTTTCTTTTACCCAGGAGGGATCGGACAGCAAGTTCTGCTCCACATACCCCCACAGTATTAGCACATGCAGACCCAGCTTTCGCACAGGGGCCACTGTTTGGATGAACTGTGCTTTACTTAGTTGGTCCCTGGTGGTTGTTTCTAGGTTTTTTGTTTTTATTTTTATTTACTTGCCATTATAAAAGCTGTGCAATAAATACCAGTAGATTTCAGCAGACTTTTGCAGGTATGTCCACAGGGCACATTTCCACCAGTTGGATCCCTGGCCCAAGAACATTGTATAAGTTGTCAGCTCTGGCGAGACTGTCGTCCTGAGGCTTCAGCATCGCTCTCTCATGTAGTGTCTGCAGATGTCTATGGCACATGTTTTTACTGTAATGGCTTCCACCAGTTGGATCCCTGGCCCAAGAACATTGTATAATTTGTCAGCTCTGGCGAGACTGTCCTCCTGAAGGCTTCAGCATCGCTCCCTCATATAGTGTCTGCAGATGTCTGTGGCACATGTTTTTACTGTAATGGCCTCGTTTAAATTCTTTGTTATTAGCCTTCTAGTAGGATGTGAAATGGGACCCCCAAATCAAGCTGTTTTATCATTGTTGCATCCTTGCTTGCCTTCTCCCCTGGGGAGGAAACCTGAAGTGAGCCCTGGGGTGTCTGAGGGGCGGCGGGAAGGGCCTCCTGCGGTGCCCGCACAGCCCGCGGCTCAGCTCCCGAGGCCGGTGGTTGATGTGCTCTGTGTTTTACACGTTTCCTGCAGGAGGAAAGCTGAGCAAGGACCTGCGGCACTTTCTCAGCCAGCGCTTCCAGAAGGGCTCCCCTGACCACGAGCTGCAGCAGACCATCAGGGACAACCTGTACCGCCACGCTGTGCCTTGTGAGTAGCCGGTGCGGGCATCGCGCCATGGGCGGCTGTGTGGGAAGTGGAGGCAGAGGGCGAGGGGCTGGCTCAGTGGCTCCTACGTCCTGGGAACCACAGTGAACAGTGGGACGCCGAGCACGGCACGGGGTGGTTTCCCGGCTTTCACACATTGGCTCTGCCACGTACTACCTTCCAATCCCGGGCAAATGATTTATCGCTGTAAGTTCCATCTTCACATCAGTGAGAAGGACATGTCACTCACACTAATACCTTCAGAGACCTGCTCTGAGGAGTAAGTGGGATGAGGTACACCAATTCCTGTAGAGTGGCAGGGCGTGAGCCTCTATAAATGGTAACCGTAGTTGTGTCAATGACGTGGGGCAGGCCAGAGGCCGTCAGAGTGGCCACTGATGGGGGAGGCTGTGAGGTGGGTGACTGGCAGCTCAGGGGTCGTGCAGTGTCCCAGACGCTACCAAACTGCACCCCAGGTGGCCAGTCCTGAGGTGGGGGTCCTAGAAGACATGCGACTATCTGATTTCATTCAGAGTAAGAAATAATGGCTCTGGTTTTGTTACTGGGAAGTTTTCTTGGCTCCTCTCTGTTACCCCGTACTTCACAGTTTGAAATACCTTTTTAGAAATACCGTATTTTAACCGGGGAAAGAAAGGAAAAATAAATTGAAGTTCAAGGCACCTGCTGATTGTTGTGATTAGTTTGCTATAAATGGTTTCCTTTAAAAAATAATAGTTCACAGGTAATGTGTGAGAGTGATGAACCTTTCCTGATAGGACTGCAAAAAAAATACATGTAATCTAATTGGAGGCGTGCCATCGCTCCGCAAGAACACAGACCATCAATCCAGACTGGGACCCTAAAGGATCCTTAGAAAGCAGCTTCTAGAACAGACC